AAGTATTATTTAACAACATATGTACTGAGAAGTGATAAGTTTGTTTTTCTTATACATGATGAGCGCTGCAGTTAGTGCATGTGTACGAATGTAGTGCTACGATGGCAGCTTCAATTTATGGCATATGGTGACAATACGAAGAATGTTCACTGGTAGTAATTAAACATTTGAAATAATCATCTTGTAGATTATATATATACACACCAGCACTCCAATTAAGCTATAATCCAGCTAGGTACCTCAAAGCAACCCGCCATTTGCCTGTGTCGGTGCTTGCAAATAATCTCAAATGGTGACGAGTTCTTGAGAATGTCAATAATAATGAGGTCCGCTTAAAATCTTATGTAGGAACCAAATTATCTAAGGAACGCACTGCATGATTTTCTAAAGCATTTTTGAACTCGAATCAGGTCGATCTCACATGAAAACCCGCAAATTTGCATGGAAAAATTGCCTTGCGATGGTCTCTCAAGTACAGAATAGATATTGGTATTTGAGTGACAGTTACACACGTTCTTAGTTATATCTTTGTTGCTGATCTCAAAGGCAATAAAAGTTTTTCAAGCAATTCTTTGCTTACTCTATAACTTTCTCGGGGATATCAGTAAACAGCGCTTTATTGCCTACATCTCGGCCCCAGCTCTCCGGCACATCTCAGGCGAGTAGAACATAAGTAAAGCGCCAGAGGTGGAGATGTGTGAAAGACATTATTTTCGTAAGTTTTTGCGATGGTATTGATTTCTGCGGTACTCGTAAGTTTTACGATGATCTTTAGTTAAAAGGATGATCGCAAGATCTACGACTATCGTCAGAATTACGATGGGCGTAAGATCTACGATGATCGCAGGACCTACGATGATCGTAAGATCTACGATGATCGTAACACAATCGATGATCGGTAGATCTACGATGAATGTTAAGCTTTACGATGATCGCAAGATCTACGATGATCGTAAGACAAACGATGATCGCAAGATCTACGATGATCGTAAGACAAACGATGATCGCAAGATCTACGATGTTCATAAGGTCTTCGATGATCGTGTGACAAATGATGACTGCAGGATATACGATGATAGTAAGGCCTACAAAGATACGATCTACGATGCTCGAGAGTTCTACGGTGACATTATATAAGCTGTTAAGCTACGACATTATATAAACTGTTACTAGTAGTTTGGTTATCACAAGTTCTCACGATGTTCGAATTTAACAAGGTATACGATGATAATTCAAATCAGAGTACAGCGCTCGTAATTTACAAGTTGTCACCACCAGAATGGTAATCAGCAGATAGAGCTAAGGATGTCGCATATCACTTCTGATAATCCTGGACCCTCATTTTGTCAGCTTGATTGGTCCTGGTAACAGAGACTCATGAGTATATACGATCCTGTAAATGTTTGCTCGTTCCAGCAAAAAATATCACCAATATCTAGAATTCAATATTGCCTTCAAACTTACGAATGTAGCAAATAGCTTTCAGGCACGGAGCCCGAGGCTGCGACAGAGACGCCGTGTGTAACTCTCATATTTACCTAAGGCTTGTTTACTCTTCACAAGCCTATGGCTCTTCTATCCATCCCTTTTTAAAAATTTCCGGTGGTTAGTGAATGGCCAAAGAACAATCGTCGGTCGGCCGACAATGATACAGCTATAACTTCACATTGCTTCGTCCGCTTTCAACGTCTCCATTGACTGAAACATCTGATAATAATACCCACGTGCCAACAGCAGGCGCTTTGACCACGATAAAACGCAGGTCATGCAGCTATGCTTTTCATCAGGGTATAGCGACCGAATTTGTCGCCTTGCCATCCTGTGAATGGGTCGTTGTTCGAAACCACTTCAGAAACCTGGAGCAAACGACGCATGATTACCAAAGTTGCACAATCCCGCTGGGTTTCTGAACTTGTGCGGTAATGCGGCGATGACGGCCAGGAGCGTGTTTGCTTAGCGGTGCGCATATGAAGCTTCGGCGTGCTAACTTATAAACTTTTTCCATTATGTATGAAATGCGTTGTGAGCAAGATGCTTTGGAAATTACATACTAAATACTAACAACTTAGTAAGACTTCTGGTATAAAGTTAGTTAATAACATGAATTAGATACAGGGTATGTCGTCCATAGTGGTCTGGTTGGATTGTCTTATGTTGTAAGAAAAATACGCTATCTGAGACGCATAATGCCGTGTTCCCGTGTACGTACGTAGAAAAAAAAGAGTACGATACCATCGACATAGCATGCGATCATATATAGCTTTTGTAAATAATAAATTCCATAAACTAAACTCAAGTTTCAAGTGTGAGGCTGAGAATATATTTAAATCTTTCGAAGAACACGTGATCAACAGGTAAGTGTCTGTGTATGAGTACATACGGCTTATTCGTACGCAACAACATTTTTTTTGCAACGATTCTGTAATTAAAAGACGAGTCCTCAGTGCCAGACAACTCTCCATGGAAACAAGTATTCAATGAATGACAACTCGTCAACCGTGACACCAACTTCCAGGGTCTGCTTCTATTGCGTTACAAAGTCGACGGGCGTCACCGTTTGTTACAGGATCGCCGTAACAGGATAGGCGTTCGTCGGATCGAGTTTTGCCCGCTCGGTAACGCTCCTTGATTGTCGACACTTGCGGACGGAGGTTTGCATTTCAGCACAAGTGTTGCTTGCCGTCAGAACGAACACCTGTCTTATATTACTCAAAGAGGAAACAAAACGTTTATTCAGCCGTTTTAAATTAGAGCAGACTTATTGGCGGACGATGTCTGGCTTTTCAATAGCCACAAATACGCTTACTATGATTTTGAAAAGTAAAGAAAAACCTAAATGCATTTAAAAATATTTTTCAAAGAAGTTACAACAAAAATGCGCGGCAACATCTTCTTTCGAATACGAGCGTTACATTTAAAATTTTGCTCATCGATTTCGGGTTTAAAAATCTCAACAAAACTTTGCATCCTCGACAATTTAAGGAAAAAATACATAAACAACAACAGAGAAAAGTTGCGTGAATCGAACCTCTAACCGCTGAAACATTTGGGCAACGAGGGATGATCGCTATTCTCTGGTAAAAATCAGCGAGGAGGTTTAGGTGGCAGATGAATGTTTTACTGCCGGCCGGCGATGGTACAGCTCTAAATTTACGCGGCCACGGCGCCGGATTAGGAAAACCCAGGGTCGACCTGTAATTTCCCGATTTTTTTCGATTGTTATTTATAAAAAGGGATAGTGAGCATTTCAAAGCTGTCTGGAAGGAGAAAGTATTCAATAAAGAAGATTACCTACCCTATTTGAAAGGGTGGAAAACTGTTTTGACGAAGCAAAATAGAAATTAGGATTAGAAATAAACGATACAGCACACCATAATGTCCACTTCATTAAAAAATTATCACTCTGCCTTCCATAGCCAGAATTAGGTTCAAAATTGAATCAGGCTGCAACACGTTAATCAATAATATACCTAATTAACTAATTGCTAAGCTTCCCGTCACTTGTCGACTTCTGTGCTGGAGAAACAAAATTATCTTGCTGATACTGAAATTAAAGTCACAGAATAACTTCACATGATTCAAAATCAATTCACAAAAAAGCAAATTGATTTAGTCCCGTTATTTTTCATCGTTCTAAGAACTTCTATTGAAGTAAAACTAAAAATCCTAGAGAATCCAGGTCTACCAGAGTACAAGATTTTCTTCGTGCTCATTTAAAAAGAAGAAATGGACTCAAGTGAGTCAAGTCCAATATCTAGTCTACGTAATCTAGATATTGGAGTCTAGTCTAGTCCTTTAGTCTAGTCTCATTGAACTCTAGTCCAATAACTGCAGTCCCATTGGACTCTAGTTCCCGAGTTATAAGAAAATTTGGGGCAAGTTAGAATACGTGAGAAAATATTCATTTAACAGTGTTCGAGATATTTTTTAAATAGGTTAAGGTCACCAAATTTCAGGGCTTTTCAGATACCACTTAATGCCAGAATGAAACCCATAAATGTTAAATTAAATTATTCCAAGCGGAGTCTCCCCTGAAGCCAAAACAGCGTTAGTTATCCGCTATCAACGGCTGTTTTCTTATTCGTTACACACAACATCCTCCAATGATGCGAGGGGAGTAATAGGTTTTTGATACAGAAATAGACACTCGACGCGAAAGCGACGGGAGTTTTTCATTGCAAATCCTCGCTGTTTCTATCCGATTAAAAAGCAACGGAATTTCACTGCGATGACAGCATGAAAACACAGTTGAGTAATTACATTGCCGCATGACGTTTTAACGTTCCAGTCTCTAGTTTCAATTTAATGTTATTTGGAATAACCAAATGAATGAAAGTCTACGTAGTTGCGGCCACTTATACCCTGCCTCTGATCTCTTCATTAAGATGAGTGTAACAGAAAATCAACAATATACGAATCTTCCAATCTTAAATTTTCACATTTAAAGCAACATTTCAGGCAAAATATCGATGATTGACAAATAATATCAAAAACGAAAGAAGAAAACTTCGAGTCTAAAAATTATTATATCTATACGTATATGAGAAAATAGGTAGTCCTACGAGAATGTGATTCTCGTACGAGGTACGGCCATATTTACCAGTTTACGCAGGCTAACAACTTACCCTGACTATTCAATTTCAAATAGAGGATATTAAATATTGATAGAGGCCCACTCCTCCTATTTATCTCTAAATTCAAGATTTCCACGAGTTATTGTAATAGGGATCTATCGTCAAATGAAACTAGTAAATAAATTAAATACTTGTTGTGTGTCTTTACCCAAGATAGCGTATTCGACAGTAGCCATTCATTTGAATTCCAAACTACAAGTGTAAATTTTTGTCGTAAGCCTCCCGATCATAAACTTACGATCACTATGAATTTTCGAGTATTCAGTGCTAGATTATTCAAGATCCAACTTCAAAAAATTAATTTTCTTTCGTGCTAGGATAATTTCATCTTTCAATTAAAATTAGAAAAGCAATAAAGGAGCTTACCGAGAAACGACGAAGTAGATCATGAGTAGGTAGATCCACAGGAGGGTTGCGTAGAGACGCGAGTAAAAACCTAACTTTTCACCTCGATTTGCATCACTTTACACGATTAGATAACTGGATAAAACATATTATTTCGTAAATCCCTAAATTTCACAAAATCACGTTAACGAATGTAAATACCTGAAGTAGTAAAATCATATCAATTTTTGAACACAACATAAGCTCAGCGGAAGTGTGCATTGGTTGGCTATTCCATGTTTCTAAGGCTTCTGGTTTTTTTTTCAAACATTGGAGGCTGAAGCCTAGGTGAAAATTTCATTCATTGAAAATTTTAAGTGAAACATAATCCAACTTCAATTCATTGAATTCCAAGATGAAGCAGTTATTTAGTTATCGTGACTCTCTGACACTTCATATTCAATTAGCTCTAGATTATATTAATAATGAAATCAACTAAAAATTCTACACCGGACGTTCATAGTACCTAACAGAATGTACACTAGACGTTCTTAACAGAATTAAAAGAAACCTCATAAAAGAGTCTTTTAACCAGCAAGGCAGAAATATTCAAATAAACGCCTGTTACTGGACTTCGGCTAACCGTCAAAACAAGCGCGATCCTGAACAAGATTGTTATCAGCAACAAAATCTCCTTTTAGATCACGATGCGATGAAACACTAACTGGAAGTGGCACAACCAAGGGAGCAGACACACAACACCTCTTCTCTCAACCACTGCCTGACGCAGACTGGCGAGCTTAGAGCTATACGAATACGAGATCCAAGACTGCTGCGATCTGCGCCAAGGATCCAACTCCTACAACAGCTTCATTGCGTACACATTTCTTATTTCCGACAACAATACACACTGACAGTTAATGGAGGATAATTTCAAAGGAAAACAATATCATAAAACTCTCTGTCTGTTAATTTGTCACTGTTAGACATTTCAGGACAATTCAAATTATATAGACTATTCAAGTTCTTAATCGGGGCTGTTGAACATATGTCGAAATACGATCTCCGAATTATTCGCTTGACTGCACATAACTTTCCTTATTATAGTGAAATGTTAAATCAATCACTTATGCCCATGGTTACACTCGTTAAGATAAAATTGTTGTCAAATCAGTGTAAAAAATTGTAGCTAATTACCTCAATAAATCTGCGAAAGTTGGCTGAGCAAACCAATTTCTGAAGTATAAGCCGAATATTTGATCCTCCCTAAACTTACAACCACCCAACAAATGTTAAGAACGAGACCCTACATTGTGACAAACCCTAACGATCACATAGAGCTAGCATGAATCATGGCATTACTGAGGACCACCTTGTATTCTTGCGCGTGTGTTGCCAGGACGACTGGACTGGGCTAGGGGGCTGAGGCCGCGTGCAATACTCGAGTGCGGCTGGCTTTGGTGGAGACTATGACAAGGTCGAAACAGGTTTTCTCGGCTGGTGTTGATGATTTAATGAAGGCTGAGTTAACCCTTCATAAGTTACACGCGGGAAGAGCCTGTAACACAATCCTCGACCGACCATTGCATGATAGAATTTTAATGAGATGACAATGAAGTTTCTCTTGAATTGAGGAAACACCCAATCAGCGATACGGTATCTGATGACGCATCGCGCTAGTCGTTTTGGCGGCATACAAGAAAAGAACTTGAGGTGAGGAGGGGTGGTCAGTAACATGTTGGAATCTGCGACGTCTTCTTTGTAAAGATATCACAATAATCGATTTATTCCTTCTATCATAAGCCACATGACACACAGTCTTGACACTCGGGCACGAGTTAGTGCCCAACACGTGCAACCAACACTAAACTTCAGTAGCGCTGCATTTCCAGTTACTTAGTGGCAAATAAGGGGCATGTTCGTTCAATTATATCACCACAATATTTTATTAATTTTCCACCAAGAACCCTGCACTAAAAGAGACATATAATGATATGACACTCTGAACAATTTTGTTGAGTAGTGAATATAACAACAGGAATATCAGCTTTAGTTTCGTTGAACAAATTTTCATCCAGATTTCGTTTTCCCTGCGTACGATGCATGAAAATTTTCGTTGTGATAAAATATAAGAAAAGAAAAAATATCAATATCGTTAAGCTATCGCCCAGTCAACTGTAAACATTAAGAAGAGTTCTCAACAGATGATCCTATTTTAAAAATCGAGCCTTTTTTACGATTTAAAATAGGCTCGTTCGTTCGGTAAAATCGAGTTAAAATAGGAAACTGATTTGAATAAAATTTTGCATAACATCTACTGTACTTAATCGTGATCGGAATAAGTTATTCAGAGTGTTCCTTTAATTCCGAGTTAATATATTCATGAAAGAAACAATAGCGACGCAGATGAAATAAAATGCGAATTTTACGCCCCGCATGACTGCCCACCGGAAAAGTATGTGCATTGGATTTTTCTCGCTACATCTGGCTTGGCTCACGGCGAAAGTCTTAGCGATGTTGAAGAAGTAAGTGAAATGAACTATTAAAGGTAAACCTTAGAGGTCTAGGGCACCGTGAGAGAACAGGCATACAAGTGAGTGAATGTAGGCAAGATTTGGATGTAAACACGGAAGGAAAGGCATTGGGAGCAAGGAAAGAAAAAAGTTTCCGAAGGTAAACACGGGAAAACAATAAAAAGAATGAGGTAAATGATTAATTTGACGAAATAAATGTAGGCAGATAGGTTGAGGGAGAAAAGTATGATAAAGGCAAGTAAGAGCAGGTAGATAGCCTAAGATAGGACTGTACACATATTCATATTCACAAGACTGTTGTGAATATGTGAATAGATAAGAAAATGTACAGAAATACGAAGTAATGGTCAAATAGTGAAGTAGAGAGATGAATGGATGAATGTGGAGAAGATCGAGGAGGTGGACAAGCATGCGGAGTTAAAAAGGCAGTAAGCAGTAGAGAAGTACACGAACATAGACACATATTAAGGAAATAGACAGATATGTAGAGGTGAACAAGTAGAAGGAGGTATATAGGTGGGGAATTAGGGAAGTTTTACAACTTAGAGGAGGTGAACTGATAGGTGAAGGTAGATAACTATGAGAAGTTAGGCAGACGTAGTAGGTTTAGGCAGACGTGAGTAGGATAGACAAATACAGTATCTGTACATGCAAAGAAGTAGTCAGAGATTAAGATGTAGTCGGACAGGTGCATGTAAACAACGATTCGGATGCAGTCAGACTGGTGAATGTAGATTGTAGAAAAATATTCGGATGCCGACAAACAGGTGAATATAGACAAATATGAAAGACAGGTAAATGTAGACAAGTATGAGAGACAGGTGACTGTAGACAAGTATGAGGAGGTAGACATACGTGTGATGGTGAACAAGTATGAGGACGACCACACGCCATGACGGGCATGCCTAACGCGCGATAAAATTAGTTAAGTCGGCTGTTACTAGGCCTTCTCAATACCACAAGTTACCGTCCCATTAACAGTAACGGCGTGACAGCAATAACAGTACATTTCAAACGGCAAGAGAACCAATCACTGAAGATTTTTAATGGGTTTGACAAGCCCTATCGCTGCCATCTGTCGCTCGTCTGAAATGAACTTTTCTCAAGGTAACTGTTTCGACGCCATGCATACCGCAGTTCTCTCATAAAAAAAAATAAAACCCTATCCTCGGCGGCCGTGCTTGTGTTTTCTGTAACTCGCATATGAATATTAACGAGTACGTCAGGCGGTCCAGGTGTGATGAATGGAATTATATATTCTAATGTAAGATAAGCATAAGACTTAAGATAGACAGGTACCAGCTGAGGAAGTAGGGCGTAAACAGGAACCAGCTGAGTTTTTTTCTCAAGACTTAGCGCCTTCAGCAGCTTCTGAAAAACATAACTGGAATTCTGAATATGAAATCCGTCTTGATCTCATCAGGTGATGGAGCTGTTGGCGGTGCTTGTGCGACGGGTGTCCCGACGCGCCGGCAGCCACGTCGTCGTATATTTTCATCGGGTGACAGCGCTGGTGGCGCTAAAATGTATCGGCTTGCGGGCTTTCATCGCGTCTCAAAATGAAATGAGCGTTTGCTGAAAAAAAAATCGTTGAAACAAATAACGTTCAGGTAAGTTTAACATATTCATTGAAACGCAAAGCAATCATTGAGAGGCTGAACGCTCGGTGAAGCAAAAAATTGCACTGAAAAACCGAAACAAGAAACTTCCGCCAAAACGAATGAGTTCGCCGAACGAAATGCGTTCTCCGAAAGCACATATGAACATGAATGTACGTACATTGATTTTCCCTAACGTTTAATATAAGAACCAAGTAATATATTCGTAATGATCGACAATCGTTACAATAACTACGTATTGGCCTTGGCCTTGCATGAGGCCTAGCAGGCCTCATTCATGTAGATTATCATGTTTAAAGTACAAACGAGTGCATAATAATAAAGTACATACGCCAAATAAACGAGTGCAACGCAAACTTGGTACATTTTTTAACCAAAGATTTGAAAATTGATCTGTGAGGTACAAGCCTAATTCTATAAGCAATTTAACACAAATAGGCCGTGAAGTTATGCTGCTTTTTGAACGTGCGCCATGTAAATCGTGATTATAGAAAAAAATATCTACCGAAATTTTTTAAAGTAAAAACCTGAGGAAACGGTGTTAGAATCTTTGAAACATTAGTGCACATTTGATGCCAGGACATTCGACACTACGCAATTCAAATTAGTGTAGAAATTACTTGCTTTTGTTCATGTCAGTAATCGTAGAAATAGTGCGTTTCTAAAGGAGCCGCGTTATCGCCGGCCAATCATCGGCCGACCTTTAGCGGACGCTAATCCATCGCCAGCAGATTTGAACAGCTAGTTAGCAGCAGGAGGTAAAGAGAAAATTAATTCATTGTTTTGTCAATAATTATTGTCGTTAAACTCAATCCTAATTTACGTGATGGGGGATTCCTACGTGCCACGTAATTCCGTGTTTCTATAGTCAAACGAACTACGATTTATTGTCGATCATGTCCAGTGTCTTCATTCATTAAAAAAAAATTGTGTTTGGAATCGAAAAAATGTGTCATCTGCGTACAGAAATTCAACTAAAAAATTCCCTAATTTAATTTATTAGTAGTTTAACGATTTTACTTAGAGTTACCTCGAGCACAGATTTGGTCGGCTCAAGGGCTACCCGATAGAGTACAACTGATATACTAATTTTTAACTGGAAAGGTGTTCATAAATATTCTAATGTCGTGGGAGCGGCCACAATCCTATTTAAAATTAAGGC